AAAAGACATTTCGACGAGTCACATATCAGCAAAGTTTTCGCAATTTTCATGTCACCTCCAAACAGCTGCGAAACTTCTAGTATGGAGTCACCCATAAATAGCTACCTGGAGAGCAGTACTCTCGATCTGGAAGACCTCCATCATCGAGCAGCTCCGTCAACGTCGCTACGGTCTAGGACATCATCTTCACCTCAGTCGCCAAGGCGCCAGTTGATGGTGGGGACGTACCTGGAATGGAGAGGCGGTTACATCGAGCAACTCGAGAAGAATATCCTCTCCACATGTCGTCGCCCGTACCTTCTTGGAAACTTTGTACTGCTACAGGATTGGGTGACACCACATGGAATCAAAGGGCGTTGGGAAAACTCTTGCCTACTTGGAATGGAAGGGCGTTGAGTACCTGAAGAAGGTGGAATATCTAAGCAGGTAACCTGACCTAAACCCCCTCAATTACCTGGTTCGGGCGGAGTTCAATAGGGTGGTCTACAGTGGCGGAGAAATCAACGATCTCGCTGAACTCACGCACCCACTGACGGTCGCGTGGCAGAATCTCTCGATGGCGCTCCTCCAGTGGCGGAGTATCATGATAGTATTTAATATGCTCTTTAATATGGTGGTAGAAATGTCCGATAAGAATTTATAAAGTGTAACTTATAGCGCCTCGAAAGTCGAGGAAGAAAAAAGTCTTTTTCTGGCCCTCCCCCTGTATACGACCCTCCTACCAATGAGACCTCCCAATGCTGAGGTCGTGAAAGGGGACAAGCCAACTCTTGGAGGGAAAATTTCCAGGCCAAATGCGACCCCTTCTAAGCTGGGCTTCCCAGCTTAGAAGCGCTCTGGTCAAAGTAGGGTACGTGATAAATAAGGGTATAAAGGTTACACGTCACCTATTCAATATTATTTGTCAATAAAAGATCTAGACGAAATGGAATCGAAGTGAATTCTTCTGCGACATAATCCGCCATTACTAATGGAGGCGAATTGTTCTGTGGTCGTTCATTCAAAACGGGTGCAACTCCAGCAAAAGATGGGTGTTCTTAGGACATTTCGACACCTGATAGACGTCAAACAATATGAAAAAACGAGGGTTGAAAATCGAAAATTGAAAATCGTTTCATTTCAACAAAGGAAGGAGTGGCTTTCAAATTCCTGTGATTGCAAATATTAGAGTTATGCAAATAACGGAACTATCACATGAGGTCAGCAGGGCCACACGTGCCAAACAAGAAAGTCAAACATGTCACAGGAATGTTCTTACTAGTATTCATTCTTTAGTCACTCTTATTATTCGTTATCAGCCCCTGAAAACGACTTTATTCAATTCGACTCTACTAAGCCGTTTATCTATGAGATTTTCACAATGCGTGGCTATGACTCATGAGTTTTTTTTCTCCTACAAGTTCCTTAAACAATATTTTTCACGCAGCAGTAGGGATAAATGCACGACACGATGTGTACATAACTTGACAGTTTTACAATTGATTTTTATTAGTCAACGGTAAGATAGGGAGTGGCCGTGCAAGAGCATCTTTTGGGGCGCAGACAAAGAACCATTAGGGGCTAATCGTAACACCCTCGAAGTTACTCTTTGAAGTATACTCGAACAACCATGTTACAGAGATCAATCGTTTGCTGTCTGTTGACCAACGCTTTCCTGGGATTGCGCCATGCCCCCCGATCCCATTAGTTTACGTAGTGGTTTTTGCATGCGATCACTGACCCCCAGTGCACTTTTCCAAATTAACAACGAACAAAATCTCCGCCGCTGACCAGTCCCTTCTGAAATGCGGCTTCCAATCTAACAACCTCCATTTAGAGAATATTATTAAATACTAACGGAATGCTCCTGGTGACTCAAGCAGTAACTCAAAAATTTTAACTCTTTTTTTTTCGTGGTGTCGTGCATGCAAAGCCCTTTTATTCGAAAAAATAGAGAAGCCTTCCACAGGATAACGCGAAAACATGGTGGTGCTTTATATACGATTTTTTCGCTTTTTCGAACCTTTTTCGCTTATGGCGGACCTTTGCAGAAGCGAGTGCGGGTGCGAGAGTGACAAGACGGACTACAACGACACCTTTTTGGCAAACGTTAGTTTACAATTTTTCCATTGGAATAATTGAATAAATTCTCATAACAATTGACAGGATAGGATACGTTGGAAATTTTCGACAGGCTCGGATATTACCTAGTAAGAACAGTTTACTTATGAGTTGGTCGCCGCCGAGCAGCAGACCAGCCTCGAAATAAGCGACATCCATCTAATTAACCGATTAGTTGGTCAAAGATCATTTAATTTTGCCGCCGTCAGTTCCTTGTCTCGTAGGGGAAGAGTTATAGCGTAAAAGTAATAGTAGGTAATAGAACCAGCAGTAGTAATGAACCATCTTAAGCAGTGAAGGAACGTGCCATGCTATAGGAAGTAATTGAAATTGAGGCCATTTTTATGTATTTCAACAAAAATAGGACTTTTCAAGAACGTCAAAGCTAATGGCTTCAAGTTTCCTGAAACCCTGTCGTTTCCCGCCCATTTGGCTTTCTCGGTACATTAGACCTTTGTGTATTTTGACTTCGTAGACCGCCAAGATCTAGACAAGGACTGACCGAATTTAGTTGAATGTGAATCTCTGCAAGAGGTAGAAGCTCAAAGTACATAGCGTGAGTATTATGCTGTTTAGAAACTTCATCACGAAATTCCTTATCCCTCAGTCAAAGTAGGCGTGACATTTGGTAGGGAACTGGTTACTCGTGGAATATTCCAGTCTGGGACAACTGTCATCTTGTTCTCTGTTGGACAGAGACACGACAACAATTGTGTAAATGAAAATATCTCACCAGAAGCATAGACACCTTCAGGTTAAGTTGAAGCATGCGGCCACGCCTACCCGATCTCAGGGATTTCGAGTATACCTTCGTCAGAAGAAGTTCTTTGTTCAACGCAAAGGGGCCTTTTAGGGCATGAAGAGTAGGATCCCTGCAAGGGTGGCCATACAAGTAGTAGCATTTGGTCACGCTAGAAAAGGGCACCGGATTACGAGAACAACTCCACGAAATTCGGATTTCAAGTCTTGTGAGCACACCTGTTGTGCCTTCAAGCTGCTCAGCACTTACAATAAGGGCTTTCAGGCCATGGAGGGCTTGTTCGAAGCGGTTCATTGCATGTTTCAGGGGTACATAGATGGGCACTTTTACAAATATCAAAATAGCTTGAACAGTAGCTTGAGATTCGAATCCCCGTAGGAACAGAATTTTCGAGCTTTTCCTTCTTCCTTTTTCCAAATCCCTTTGGAATTGTTTTCCTTTTCCTCATATTTTGTAGTTATAAAAGCGTTTCCTAGCGTTTGTAGTGTATCAGTAAGCCTCACTTTAGAAAACAAAGCATTCCTTATGACCGAGTTCATTATGAACTCGCGAGCTTTTTTGCAGACTTTCTTGGCATGCCCACAGGCGCGTAGGAATGAAGCTT